ATAAACGGGGACTTGCCGGTGGTTGACTGCGTGGAAGCACGATGAGCTAACAACACCATTGGCGAGTTCATTTCCCAGTCGCCTCCTTTGGCCGCAAGCCATTCCTTGATCGTTCGGTTATCACGTTCGGTCAGGCCATTTGTTTGCGGGTGGTATGGCGCCGTTCTTAGCCGTCTGACACCCAGCTTCTGCAACCAATTCCTAAATTCTTTGCTCTCAAAGCCAGGCCCCTGATCGGTTAGGATCATTTTTGGCACCCCATGGTTGGCCACGATGTGATGCATTGACACTTCGCTGATCGTCGTCGTCCACTGATTCGGCACGGCTGCCGCCTCGGTCAATCGCGACAAGTGTTCTCTCATCACCACGATGTATTGGTTCCCACTGGTTGTCATCGGAAAGGGGCCCATTATTTCAACTGACCACAACTTGCCGATTTCTGAGACAGGAATGAGTTCCATGGGATGGGTTGCCTTTGTCGTATCCGCTTTCATTAGTTGACAACGCTTACAGGACACCACATGATCCATCACCTCACTTCTCATCCCGGGCCAATAGGACCTCTGCCGAATTAGGTCGTATGTTTTGGTGCACCCTGTATGTACCATATCATGGCATTCAACGATGAGATTCCGCCTCAAGACGCAAGGTATCACGGGCAGCACAATATCTGAGTCAGTGGCGTTCCAGGAAATTATGCCAGCTTCAATCAGCCTCAGCCGATCAAAGTGACTCGGGAACGCTTCTAATTCGTTGTCTCCCTCTCCGTTCCCAATGTTTCTNCTTCCATCCAACAAGGCGGCTGCAACCTTCTGTAACACCGGATCCTGCCGTTGGATTTGTACCAACTTTCCGGGATCCAGTTCGCCGACGAGGCCATTGGCTTCAACCATGATCTTGGGGACCTGATTTCCAGCCCCTGGCCATGATAGCCAATCAGCCTAGAGGTTTTACTTCCCGGGCACTTGCTGGATTTTGAAGTCGTACTCTTGCAACCGGAGTGCCCAGCGTGCGAGCTTCCCGTGAGGATCTCTGGTGGTCCTGATCGGCTCCAGGAATTTGTGATCGGTTTCGACATGAAACCTTTGCCCAAGCAGATATGGTCTCCATTTATCCAGGGCCCAGACATTCCTTCTCAATGGTGGAGTACTCCTGTTCAGCGTTAGTCAGGACGCGTTTGGCATATTCGATGACTCCATTCCTCTGCTTTAGGACTGCGCCGATA